TTTGAAAATGATCGGTTATTACGTCAGGTGTAGCTTGTTAGTAACGTGTTTGATGACCGATAGGAGCATTTCATTTATTTGAGCGAATAACGTACGCCACAGCTAGTCGTCAAAACACTTTGACCGTATTGAAAAGCTGATCCACTGTTCTTATACTTCTGTCATCAGGGCACACACTTCGAGTTGGGGATCGAGAAGCACAGTTATTTTATCATCCCGAGTAAGCCCAATCTACATATCTGGGTTTGAGACTGCAATACCCTGAAAAATGTGTCTATCAGTAATGCAGCATTAAATAATGTTCAATGAACTTTTACTACAACACATCTCAATATAAATCACTACTTGGGAATAAAATTGTCTTGGGAAAATAAAATAAAATAAAATCACAGGTTACTAGAAACGATTTCATCGTGAGACCGGAAATCGGGTTCATCATGATCACACATTTGTTTGTCCACTCATCCGGTCATCAAGATTACTCGTGAAAGAGCGTCTGTGTGGGGTGGGCCAGGGAAGCATTCGCGCTTGCACACAGCGGTGGGATATGCAGACGATTGCCCACCGCTTCTGCTGCAGCCAATATCCGACAGCGAACCTGCCTCGATAATCGCCCGTGATTTTTATACAAGGTTCGGAAAGCCTCGGACACGTCCATAGCGTGATTTGTTCCAGCTAGATGTGAGACTACTGCACATCCTGACGGTAAACAATCGAGGTATGCTATTTTTCGCCTCAGATGAATTTCGAATCTCCCATATTACCAAAACCACCTTTCTATTAGGGCATACTGCCCATGTCAATCGATCGAGGACCTTAGTTCCCAAACTTGCCGTAATAGGGACTCAAACCATAGCTGATAATTTAATGACTTCTCTGTTTTTCAGAACCATTCATTTTCCCTTTCCTTAGGATGGATTTACCCGCTTTTTCCCTATTTTTATCAAATACAATCGAGTATTTTACTTTGTACAGATTCACAGTCTTTTTGTGGGATGGAATGGTGAGCTGTCTGCCTGGATTCCTGTGGTGATGATGACAGTATAGGCAATCTGATCCGTCTACTCACACAGATGGACAACTAAATCTCAGACCAGTTCATGTCACCTGATTGCAAGTAATTATACTTCACTCAATCCTGTGATGAATGGGCTCGTTTTATAAAGTTTAAAAGAGGAAATTGTGCAACTGTGCAATCCGCATGAATATGGGTTTAACCGAAAAAAAAACAGAATACCAATCAGGTTTGTGGCCAGGGATACATTTGAGAGCGCATTCTCCCGAGTTTATTCAGGTTCACGATTGCGCAGCCTAACAGGGACCTGTGTGGTTAACACTTTTAGGATCGAGATCCAGGGATGTGACATAGAATGCTCAGAAAATTGTCATTGATGATAAGAGTATGATAGGTTGAAATCGTTAAAACTAAATACAGTTGGATAAAAACGATGTTTAGTTTAGTCGATGCAGAAACTCCGTCGAAAGTTTGCTTTAACTACCGTCGTAAATGGCTTTTATTATGTGACAGTAATTGCTCGTGATAACTGGGTAACCTCTACATTCATACAGACTAATATAAATTAAGAAAGAGGAAACATTCTTCTAAAATACAATTTACTAATTTTGCTTACGAATACATTTCTCAGTCACAACAAAAGAGGCAGCTGAAGAGAAAAAAGTGACTAAGCTCAAGAAGCCTTTACTAACCCCTGCCAACACCGGGCTACGATCGCCTGTGTTACGACGTTCAACGCGAACCACGACTGATTTTCACCAGAAGTCATAGCATCCAAACTACAGTGTTTGATAGGTTGGATAGAAAAAATTCTTCCATAGCGCATCATGACACTTCAGGTTTCTGGAGCACTATCTGATCTTATTAGCGTAGCCAGAGGAGATTCACAAAGATTCGTGGTTGAACCTCAACTATGTTTTTAGCTTTCATAAATGGCCTAACATGCGTTCTGTGGTCACAAACATTAATATTTGGAGACGATGCAAAAATATGGGAAACAGCGACAAACTGGGGACTCAGAGGTGCTTCAGAGAACAAACAGTGCTGCTTATCACTGATCGATCGAAAACAACGTCAAATTGAATTCATCGAAATGTTCGGTCGTATCCCTTGGCAACAAAAATCAATTTTCCCGTTCTGGGATATCAACAAGTTCCGCATGCCTCCAATGAGAAGGATCTCGGTGTCATCGTTCAAGACGACCTAAGTTGTTCCATAAACTCCTCCACGGCATCGTCCACCGCTGCAAGACATGTTGATTTGCTGAAGCGAGTATGCAGCAAATTTGAATCCTTTCTGTTTTCACGTATTGTATCAGTCTACCTTCGACCCCGCATTGAGTATGCCATACATGGCGGGCACGCGACCGTAGAATTTTGGAACTTCCTTAAAGAACGGCCCCCACGATGGACAAGTGACTGCATTCTACGATTTATGCGGAAAGACTGGAATCATTGGGGTTGCACTCCACACAGTATCATCGAATTTGAACGGACTAGATTTTGGTGCATCCAATAATGCGGAACTCTGGTCACCAATGTCGTTCTCTGTTTACAATGTCACCCAATACGCATCTCAAGGGGCACTCATTCAAATGAGTGCCCCTAAAACTGTCGACTACAGTGCCGACGTCATTCATGTGCATTCTGAGTTTGTAGTATTTAAATTTCCCACCACGTCGCGCTGTTTCGGCGCCCTCAACAGGTTCTCCCAAGCTCTAACTGAATGAAACGTTACCATATCTTAGTTTCAACATGCGCAGCATTACACGAAACGATGAAAATGTTTGATATTTCTCGTCAGCTTTTTATCGGTAAATCGATCCAACTGTCCAAACCACCCTAAGGGATAAGAACAGTACCCGTTTTCAAGTATTGCGCATACTAAAACCTTTGAATGTAACTTAGAAAAACGGAGTAGGAAGGAGTGTTCCACAATCACACGGCTGCTGGACGAAAGGATAGTTTGAACACCTCCTTTCGACAGGTTTTAGAGTCATCTGCTAAAGATCACTTAACGCTTTCCACCGAGTCTCAACAGTAAATAAAAGTGGGGGATGGACCGAGTCGACAAGACTAGGAGAGTGGTAATACCGGGGTAAGGAGGCAATTAAACGGCTTGCACATAGAAACGGTTTATAAAAGAGACAAATTAACCTGTACATGTGTTAGGTAAGAGTCTGCGCAGCATTCACGGTCGAAATGAATTTGTAGGGATAATCAGGGAAATTAGGCGTGGACTAGGATGCCCGGGGAATCAAGGGAGCAATTTCAATCAACAAAAGAAAAAACGTGTGACGCCAGAATGTGCAGCGAGACACAGCTACTCAGACGATAAATAGAATATAAAAGTTAAAAATTGTTCAGTGTACCAAGTAAGCCTGTGGAGATCAATAATAGAAAAGTGATGAACCAAAATTTGCTAACAGGCGAACGGTGTGGGCACGCTCTTTTGAGCGATCATACCCACCAGTTGAGAATGGTGACCAAGGGTGATGAGCTGTTTGTAGTGGTAAATGCTTCTATCTCGTGGCCTACGGTTGTGGTTGTCGCACTAACCTGTCGTTCTTGTGAACGCTAACAGAATTTAAGGCGGTGATCTAAGGTTGGGAGTCTGATTGCAAAACATCTTCAATAGGCGGCGAAAAACGATAGAATAAAGAATAATCAAAACAGTTGAGAGCGCGAATGCACTAATGGTGTTTTGAAGATGGGCAAAAAGCGGCAGCCACAAGAACTGAGAGTAATGATTGAAAGCATCCGTATCAGCTAGATGGCTGATCGGTTGGTACTGACTGGTGATGAAACACTTACGAATAAGCTTTGTATAGAAAAAGACTCTAAGAGGGAGCGGAGACGGAACAGGAGACGAATAAAATCTCCGGAAGAAGACAGTTGAATCGCGGAAAAGGGAAAGAATAAAATGTGAGGTACTTTCGTGGTAGTGATGAACCGAATTACTGTATTCATTGGGACGGCGTGTACTAGCAAAAAACACCTGACAGTAGGTGAGGGTGAGAGCGTGTGAAACGGTATGCGCTGTACAGTACACCTCCACGATAACTGGTTTTCGTTTGAGGAACCGGTCCACTTAGATCCGTGTCTTACAGTGGCGAACGGCATATGACCCCAATCGGAAAGGTGTGGTATTGTACCAAGCGACAACGGAGCTACTTACCACTGCCGTATGGTACAGGTATGGATGACTGTGTTGTATATGGTCTTGTGCCTATAATACTCTTAGATGGTCAGAGAAGTTTTTTCTATGTCGCCTCCCCTGAACGAACTTGTACACTGAGAGAGACAGACCACAACGGGATGCACCAATAATTTTTTGCATTAATTTTCTGTGCGAACCGCGCTGCTCTGCAGATGCACTGAAAATTCTGGTAAATTTATTCACACAGTGTCCACAGACTGAATTCATTATTCTGAGCTGCGCAGATAAAGGTTTAGAATTAATGCCTATATTCACGTTATCATGTTCATCGAAAATCCTAATCATGCGAGATGAAATGAAGATGTTATGTTGAGAAATACCAGTTACTCTCGATTGCCGTTTGATTCTGTCCATGTGCTGCACGAAGGAAGAGACAGTTACTGCGGTGATCCAGGCTTTCGAGATGACACCAGTCAAGGGAACTCACGTTACCGTTTCAGGACAACGAATCAGAGTGCAATAATTTCGATCAATCAAAGACCATTTGGTTCAAAAAGAGCCCTGGGACGAAGAGAATACAGGTTGCGATTGATCATGATGTGTTCATTCAATGACATTTCTTGGTACATAATTATTTAATCTAGTTAATGTCCTTCGGTAAACCGATCGCAACTTCTGTGGTGTTTTACCTGCGTCGGACTCACGGTAAACTGCTGCAGGTGACGACTAATGCAATTTTGTGATTCGATTACGATCGTGATTTATGATTCGAGGTCATTCTTACCACTAAACTTACTCTTAAAGTTGTTGGGTAAAGACTGCTAACAAAATCTCCTAATCACGTCATTTTCAGAGATAATGCGATAGATTTCAAAGGATCAATTCAAAGGTAATTTTCACTTCTCGATATTGATTTTGATGTATTTGAAAACATCTGGTCAATTGCACTTGAATGCTACACGAATGATATCTATTCCCTATAATTTTCTGGAGTTACGTAACACCGCCTAAAACATCTGCGCGTGTAGATCACATATCAAGGGGATCTATCAACGAGCAGGAAGTGTAAGTAAGGCTTGGTTTATTTCTTATCTGCATAAAAAATACGTACCAGTAAAGGATGGTTTGCGTTAACAGACTAGAGCGTTGTCCCTGTCAGTCAAGTGGTATGGATCTTCAAATTATCGAAGGTCACGAGTTCAAACCTCGCCAACATTGCTACCTAACGACCTATTTCTGTGTACCATATGTTCTCATTCCACTTCATGAAAGTTGTTTATACAATCATGCATTCGTTAAAAGGAATTAAATCAATAAAAAAGTAGATTTAACTGGGCTGTGTTGCAGACAGGTGTGATGAAATCAAGGCATTTGGAATCACTATTCATACCATAATAACGACCCCTTAAAAGTGAAATTAATGAAGCGAGACCAATTAGGGGATTGTCCAAGAATTCATCTGAGGCCAAATAGAAAAGTGTAGACCAAACGGGACAACGTCTCAGAAACAGCCACCAGTGTGAGATGAATTGGTTAATTCGTTGAGGACCCTTATTTAGCCATACGTGTGCTAATATGGTAGCCTTTTGAACGAATCCTGAAAATCAGTCTCAACATCCCGCTGGATGATGTATTATGGTGATCGGTTTACTACTATCCGTTAGTTTCCGCTGAAACGGGAACTGAATCATCAATAATTTTTTCAACTGGTTCATAATAAACAACCCCTTCGTACTTTTGTTTAATGATTTGAACAGACAATTTAATCACGCCTTGCAGCAAACTGGTAATAGGTAGCAAGTTGTTTGACCCTGCCGGTGGAGATTTGAGCCTGCTCATGAGTCTCCGACACATGTTCCACACGTTTGATCTCAAATAGTAAAGATTCTCATTGTTCGAACTGCTTCACATTGAATTTGGCAATGTGACTGAGAATGCGCTTCGGGGTAGTGGGGTTTATTCCCATACGAGATTGTGTTGGCCGTCGAGTTGTCACAGATTGACAGTGGTAGAATGTACTCGGGTTAGTCAAGCACCACACAAGCACAGCGTTGCGTATTCGGAAGCAAACTTCACTTGATATATGTCATAAAATGATGCTAGACTTATTAGTGATCTACGTTGTACATACGAGAAGTGAATCACACGCTAGAACAAAAGAAATCACATAAGTATGAATATGTCATATTTTAAGTGGTATTGTAATGAATGTTACTCGAATACCCAGCCACGGAACCCTTTAATTTTTCTATCTTTTCTCGGTTAATGCTAGCACGTGATTTCGCAATGCACTGGCACCCTGAAGCAGTTTGTTACAATTGCTTGAACGTGTTGTTATGAGGCCTCGTCTAATTATCAAGCGTCAAATGTGCAACAGGAACATATTTGTTACTTTTCTTCTGGGTCCCAAGCAAACCATCAGCTTCAATCATTCATTTTCTGGCCTGGAATAAATGGCGTGTGTTCGACTAGTCTCTGAATCAGTTCATCGTCATTCAGAGATGAGTTACTTTTGTCATTTTGGTACGATCAGGTACAGTTTAGAGGAAACAGTTTTGTTTCAAGTATTAACAACGAAAAGTGAGGATTTACTTTTGAACAGGTCAACTCACAGAGCTTGAGCTTCTGAACATGGATGCGGGTAGTCTCATTGCATTTTTGGGTTAAAACAATAATGAAAAGTACGTAGTAGCCTAAGAATACCATACCAAAAATGCCTGTTTGTTTCTCATCCGATTTCGAACTAACTACATGATCCCACATTTTGTGACCAGGATGCGCAGTAGATGAGAAAGCACTCATGGTGAGGGCGCAGTGGTTTTGTCGCTGTCACCGACGGGCTTAGAACCCGATGGTCTGAGGTTCCAGTCCCGTCACGGTCACTCAACTTTGGTGGAAGACAGCTTTGCTGTAGTCCAATTCAATACCGCGCCTGACCCAGCGGCGTTAAGTACTCCGGAGGAGATACGGCTTTCAAGTGAACTGGAAGTTTTCTTCCCATAGGACCGGGACCTCTTTTGCTGTGTGAAATGATACACAAGCACATATGACAAGGGAAGACAGAATAGGTAAAATTGAATTGTGAAGCATCAAAGAACTATATATTGAAGTGTGTGTGTGTACAAATCACTGCTTATTCACCTACCCACTATCCGGTGGCATCACTGTTGTCGGGACGACGATCGGGATAGGAGCAAAGTCACTTGCAGCGTATTGTCCGGGTGACTGATGATCTAATGTCCGTTTCAGACAGGTGTTTAAAGTCACTAACCTGAAATTGGGTGAACCAACACGAATTACTGAAGCCACACAGATAACCTTGGCAGCCGATGAACACCAAAAGAATAATCTGTTCTGAACACTATCAATGTTATTTGACCAATACTTTTATCACACATGGACTAAAACAAGCACTCAGCTTTGGAGTGAATCGTCAAACTATTTGCGTTCAATAACAGATACCCGGGAATTTTATTTGACACAGAAACATTGATTAATATACACGGCAGACATGACCGCGTCTTTCGGCGGGGATAAAGCCGCGTAGCCTAGCAGGTCGGGAGTTCGGAAGTTCAAATCCAGCTGAAACTGATCAACTTTGCGATCATCATTGTGATTATTCAGTTAGCCGTCTCCTAAAAATTGACCTTAAATTGACCTGTTCAATGTAAAAATAAACAGATTATTAGGTAGCAAAATAGAAATGCATAGTAGTGCTTATCGCCTACTAGCATTTAGAGTTGTGACTTAGTTTATTATGCTCCTCGGATTCATTACACGAAATACGGCTCCTTGGCCGAAGTAACCATACCGATAATCGTTTAACTGAAAACTGAAAACTTAACCACACACTTCTCGATATATCTGCATGTCTGAGCTAAAAATAACTATTGTTTACGCTGAAATACTTGATAAAGCTCGAATGACACCGGCGAGGAAATTTACAGAGCATACCAAAGCTACCAAAGCAATGTGCAATTTGTCAACCTCAGATCAGCTTCCACCATAGTACGTTTTCTTGTTTGAAACCTTTCAGATCAAAGATAAATCGACTAATTCTTTTGCCTTCATCGGAACTACAAACTGACAATGGCTCACATCGTGTTTCATAAAACGTATGGTTTCTATGCCTCAATTCTCTGCATTCTACCTGGTATGAGATTCATTATTGGATACCACCGAACGTTTACGTTCAGGGAGCAAGAACATGAACCTGCAATCATTGGCTGAATAGTCTTGTGGTTGTTTCAATAGGCATCGCAGTGTGGTATTCAATGAAAACGCAGCATTCCACAGGCACGGACGCCTATTTTCAATGATAAGAATTGATTGAGAACTTTATGCGACAAACCATGTGTTCTAGATTTGAGAAAGAGGAAAGTTGTACAAGATTTATCCTCAAAACTCGGCGACTATTACTATGGAGAAGAAGTAATGGGTTAGAAAACGGCAGGTTGTTATCACCTATCAGACCTTTTCAAATGCATTTAGCAGAAGAACCTGTCTTGTTCTACATGGCACCATGGTAGCAAATTTTTCCAAGTAGTTCACGACCGTTGAACGTTGACGAAATTAGAGTAATGTTAATCAAACGGTTTGAATGATTGAGACAGGAGGAAAAGGGTTCGAATCCGACTCCTCCCACTGATCATGCACGTTTGTTGTATTCCCCCGGGCAGTCTTGAATTAATCTGTCACCTACCTATAATTGATTGGACAAGTGTACCCTAAGTAAATAAAAAGTAAAAAATTTAAAAAAGAGACAGTTTTGATACTTGCAATTAAGTTAGCACGTCCTATGTTGTCTGTAGACCAATTGTTACATATAAATCAAGTCTATTGGAGTCAGAAGTAGCTGTATACAACCGGATGAGCAAATTCTCAGCATTTTGCTACGAATGAGAGTAGTAATTTTCTGCTCTGGAATCGCTGTCCTGGGTTCGGTCCTAATTGTGGTCTAAATCTTCAAACTGCGAATAGTACCCAAAAAGAACAACTCGATGTAAGGCAAACGTTATTTCATAATTTGTTTTAAAAAATATAAATCTCAACGGGACATTAAGGTTTCAAATTGTATACGATTACTGAATGCTAATGATCTGTGTTAGACCCGGATACGCCGGTTTACGCACACCTATATATGGTTGATCTTAGTTAACATGCAAGTTGAATTTGACCGTCCATCGAGAGCTGTGTCAGAAGTTGGTGCTTGATCGGAACAGATGATGGTTTGCGTAGAACTGAAAAAGTCGATCTCCGTTATCTGTTCGTTGGCTGGGCAGAGCACAACTACGGCGTAGGCAAGCTTCTGATGCGCTCAGTTTTCCAGCCTGCGCGTTAAGACTACCTGCGAGAACAACCATGTCGGAGCTTCGGCTCAACCGAATCAGTTTGGTACGTTTATCGTAAAACTCGTCCTTTTATGCGTCAAAATGGCAGTTGGTCGGTGCATATGCTGATGCGATGAACAAACATCTTTTGGTGTTGCTTCCCTTCCGGAAGCTGATAGACCCTTGGAGCCGTATGGCACATAAGCGACTGTTGAAGGGGATCCGATCGAGTATTGCGGCTTTGGCTGTATTGTTGAATACAATGCCCACACCACGCTGGCTTACTGAACGGCCTTCGTCATCACCTGACGTGCGGAAGAAGAACCTTGAAGACAATCCTAGTGCACGTAAGTGGCTTGTAGTACTAGGATCTGGGATTCGCGTCTCCGAGACACAGCAGACATTCATTCCCAAAGAGTCCATTGTACGCTTCAGACACCTACCTGCATCAGAGTCCCAACGTTGAAAGCCCCAAGAATCAGAGCTGGACGAGGCCTCGGAATCTACAATCTATTTTGTGGTAAACCACTTACCGGGCTACTTGGTAATGAACTTTGGCAAGCGACGAACAAGTTGTCTGAGGGAGTGCTACGGGTTGGAAGAAGGGGTAAAGGAAATGGGTCGGGTAGAGAAGAAAAAGAGTTGAACAAAGGTTTGGATACCTGAGCAGTAGCCCACTTATCCTTACGCAACCCGTTCGATGCAATGGGTAATGTGGTCCTGATGATCCTGCGCGACGACCGATGCAGTACGGAATTATATTTTGGTCGTGTATGTATTTGAGTTTGATGGATGGGTGCTGCCAGGAAGTCCAGTCCTAGTCTTACAACGGCGGTGGTGGCGTCCTGATTCGGTGGCTGTCACCGGTGTGCTTTGAATCTGATGGTCCGAGGTTGAATGCTCGCCAAAGCACCCAGGTTTGAAGGTAGCTTTGCTGTCGCCTGGGTCACTATCACGCCAGAACTAGCTGAGCCTTATGTGGTTCCCCACCCCAATTTCCAGGGTTTAAGTTACCGTTTCTCATCAATTAACAGCATGTCTTTGTAACTATGGGTTTCAACGCACCTGGTTTTCATAATAAAAGTATCATAAAACAGCTGGTTTTAATCCGGTTTTTCGGTAGAATGAATTAAGATTGCATTGGATATTCCTCAGCGTTATTGGGAAAGCGAGACCATAGCTCTTGTCACTAGTGCGTTGACCGTCGGATAATCAATGCCCGCCAGAGCAAGTATTTGTATACCAATCGAGTTCTTTATCAACTGAGTATACTGTGGAACTTAAGCACAACGAGATCAGAACTTACCATCGATTAAATTTCAGATCAAGAAGTGATTCAATGAAGCATGAGTACGCTGAAGATTATTCACCATGAGATGTTTACTTTGGTGGGACGGAGACGAAACTACGCAAGCACACATTTTGATTATAGACTCACCGATGTCCGACACCGACCAGTTGCGCAATAGTGTTGGCCAGTGCAATCAAACTGGTCAGTTTGTTGATCAGATAGAGCAAAAAGAAACTGGTCTGGAGAAAAGAAGCAAGCGGCAGAGATAGAGGGTGTGTGTGTGTGCAATTGTTTACCTCGTGTTACTTCGGAATCACCTCAGCCAGACAGTCAAAAAACGTGCCGGTTAAGGAAATGGGCCACAAAAATGTAATCGGCAAATTGTGAAAACATCGCGCGTAATGGAAGGGGTTTGAGACACACTGGGAGTGAAACAATCAACTACGTCCACTGATTATGAAAAAATAGTGTGAGATTCGCATATTTCTCCGGTAGGACCTGTGCCTGAAATGGAATACCTAGAATTACAATCACAATCCTTCTGACCTAGACGAGACAAAATTTATAATGTTTTATCTTAATCAGCTATTCCTCAACTATTTATCCGGGGGTAAATGTAGACATGGCGAAAAAGGACCACCTCTAACGTAACAGTCGGCTGTTTGTGTGCTCAAATTTCGTCCTTTCCGTGAAACTTCACGAATTTCTCACTTTACTTGGCACTTGACCATTTTCTCTCCTCAACATGCGGTGCATTTTTCTATTTAACTAAAGAAAAGTAAATCAGAAGCAGAATGCACGAAGTATGTGCCTTTCATCGGGCTCTTACAAGCAAATTATTCAGTCCCTTTTTAGTCGTTGGATTACATTTTGTTGCATCATACGATTCTGATAACACTATACCATCTGGAGTCCGATGCCTTAATTGCACGTCTTCAAGATTATTTTTAAAATACTCCCTGGTCAAATCAATGCCACATCTGAAGTAGAAAACACCCTGATAAAACAAATAAGTTATACCCAAACAGGAGTGCAAGGGGCCTTGTGCATGCAGAGTCTATAAAAAATGTTTGATGATCCGTTGGGTTCTCTTGAAAGCAACTGAATATGATCTTGATCACAGCAAACATTTTACATCGGTAAAACGGTGCCACTGGAAAAGGGCGTGTTTTGTTTGCCGACGTGCCCAAACGACAGTCTTCTTTCAAGATCACAGAGATTGGTTGTGAGGTTCTCAAAAGATCATTGATNCCCCCCCCCCCCCCCCGAAAAAAAAAGATCAAGGAAAATATATTTAGACATGAACAAATTTAACCGGATCTCAAAGGAGAAATTCGTCGTGTATGCAGCAACTGAAGCGGGAACCGAAAATTTAGGCGGCACGGGACAGCTATTTCCACCTGGCTGAGTCTCATTAGTAGAGTGAATCTGCCTGTGAGGTCTTCGTTTTCGATTCCCAGTTAGGTCAATGGATTCGCACTGTTGATGAGACACAACCAGGTCGAAACAGCTGTCCAGTGCTTCATAGCTTTCATTTCTTAATCCAAACAGATAAATGAACAACCATATTTTCTGTCATTCACAAACATCTCAAATGCACCATTAGGATAGTCACTGATGATGAGTGAAACTTACCTGCGAGGAGAGGGGCAAACACAGCACAGGTTATTAGTGCTAGGATCTGTCTTCAGATGGGATATGAAATTCACAATGACAACTAGGTGAGCTCCGTTCATGGAAGTGTTATGGAGGTTAACGCAATACGTACCCAGTAGCTTTACTGGAATTAATGACTCTTGAACATTGCCCGATGAGGTACGGGCTGCAATGAAAGGGCAATACTCATAGTGACGTTCACAGGGACACATTTGCCATTTCTATACTATAACACCTTCGATCAGCATCAATATACCAAATCTGATTAGTTTGTGCGTTTTGTTTCAGGAAAGATCGCGAAAGAAAACAAAAGTGAGGGCTAATAACATTTCGTGATGGCCAGTCTTATTTGAGAATGGCTTTAGAATAGTCGGAACGGATCGCCCGGATCGCTTGCTTCTCGGAGACCCTCCAAATTAAGAATAGTTTTGTCGCTGTTACCGTACAGATAAAACATGCTTTTATTTAACCCAGTTTCCCTATAGCATTCTCCGGATTTATCAAAGATTCTGCCATCACGATGAGACTGCATCAGGACGTAGTGTGATCGCTTGTGCACCTCTGTGACCCAACGAGCTACACAGAATGGTTTTTATCAAGCCCGGAGATCTTATCATGTCTGTAAGGTCAATGGGTAGAGGTCGGACGAAGTCCAGTCGCCTGGTCCTCCAGGTTGGGGGTTCGACTGCAATTTGCGTTTCAGTCGGTAAAAATGGTGAAGGAATAATCGATCCAGGTAAATGGGCCCCAACTTCGCTTTACCCGCTGCCTTGCAGTTAAGTTTTTGTTAAAACTAAAGGATTTGGACGAGAACCCTAATCGTTCTTCTGCTTAGTGGTTAGACACCCTAGCAGTACCCGTCCATCAAACCCCAATGCATACACAAAATAAAAATAATTTC